GGTAGACGTGGGATCCACTTCCTTTCCCTACGTTCTTTCAGCTTTTGGCATGCAGGGCACATCCTCATTCTTCCTGAAGAATCCACGACTTTGAGGGGAGTGATAACTCAGGAGAGTGAAAAACTGTTTTAAAAATACTATTTTTAGTATATCTCCACTAGGTATTTTTCAGAGAGTTTGTTTTCTTTTATTGTCATTCTTTGAATATACTACAGTTATTTGTCTCTTCATGCATGTATTATGGTTTGCCTTTATTTGGTTGTCGTTGAAAAGAAGACATTTGAAACTAATAGTGTGATAGTTCTGAAAATTAGATTCCTCACTCTTTGTGTGTGTGTGTGTGTGTGTGTGTGTTCTTACAGCAATGGGGAGGTAAAACAATATTGGCTACCCATTTAATGTGCACATCTACGATCGGACACAACAACCCATAAACAAGTACAGGTACTCAGTATTTGGAAGACAGAGTACTCTTTGCCAAACCCAACTCCTATAAACTGTATTCAGAACACTCAATGAACATATACTTAGTGGCCTGACACAAAGGGTCATCTGCTAGGAATTAAAGTTGACTAAAGTTAATCACAATTTACAGTGCAAGCCTTATACTCAAGGTTGCAGTACTTCAGTAGTCTCCAGAGTCCATAAATTATCCCATCCAATGATTTTGCCAGTGAAATTGCTGTCTGGGTCAGAAGACAGAATTGCTGTATTTTCAACACCCTACTTTCTAATCATCTCTCTATAGTCAATGTGATAAGAATGGTTTTCATCCCCTTTTTTATACCTGAGTCACAGCCTTCCTCTCAGTGATAACTGTAGTTTTTCCTCAAATCTGCAATTTTGCTTTTTTTTTTTGCTTTTTTTGAGACAGGATTTCTCTGTATTGTTTTGGAGGCTGTCCTGGAAATTGCTCTGTAGACCAGTCTGGCCTCAAACTCACAGAGATCTGCCTGCCTCTGCTTCCCAAGTGCTGGGATTAAAGACGTGTGCCACCACTGCCCGGATGAATTTTGCATTCTTAACATTTCGTGTAGTAGAAGCAAGTGTTATAGAAGCCTCCAGAAGTTTCTAGTGAATTTCTTTGGAAGTATGTAGGGCATGTAATGCTACTGTATATGAGGTTTGACGATCTAGCCCCATCCTTGCCATGGAGTGTGTGGCATGTGAGACAGAACATTCGCCTCTTGCGTCTTGGTCCATTTAAGTTGCTGTAACAAAATACTATAAACTGACTTATACACAACAGAAACATATTTCTCGTTCTTTTGGGGGTCAAGAAATCCAAGATTAATGCAGAAGATTCACTGCTTCCTAATCCACAGATGGTGCTTTTTTTTTTATTGTGTTTTCCTACAGTGGAAAGGATGAACATTTCCTTGAGCCTACTTAAAGGAATATTCATGAGAACTGAGGTGCCTTGTGCAGCCTTAATACAAAGGGAGGTGCCTAGTCTTACTGCAACTTGATATGTTGTCTGGTTGATATCCACTGGAGGGCTGACCTTTTCTGGATAGAAAAGGAGGAGGAGTAGATGTGGGGGGCCGAAGGGAGATGAGGGCAATAGGGAGGAGAGGAAGGAGGGGAAACTGCAGTAGGGATGTAAAAAATAAAAAGAAATCCACACCCAAAAAAGAATACTAATGAGAGTTAGTTCTCTCCCCATAGGTCGCATCTCCTAGTATCATCATCATGGCAGTTAGGATTTCAGCATGTGATGGGGGAGGGCCTGACTGTTTAGGCTACCTTCTACTCTCTAATCTCATATTTCTGCAAATACAGGTGATGCAAACCCAGAATATGGCAAGCCATGGGGAATTTTGTTCAATATTCTGCAGTCAGTGCTTCTCAGGGTTGAGACAACATAGCAATGGGTATCTTTCAGCATACATATATTCCAGAAATTGTTGGAAATTGCATCTTAAAATTATCAATTTAAGTTAAATAGGTTTAAGCTAAACTACAAAATCCAAAGGCCTAAATTAATAGAGGTGAGGGAACCCAACACATGTAGTAGAAGCAGATGGGAAAAAATGGAAATGGAGATAAACCTTTATAAACCAAAATCATGTTGTGAAGGCATTTTATATGACCCCCTCCAAATTGTTGCAGCTATGCTAAATCGATTTTAAAATCCAAAAGCAAAATGAATATGCTGTTTCTGTGTCATAGTTATACATTCTTTTTTTTCTTTTTTCTTTCTTTTTTTTTTTTTTGGTTTTTCGAGACAGGGTTTCTCTGTGGCTTTGGAGGCTGTCCTGGAACTCACTTTGTAGACCAGGCTGGCCTTGAACTCACAGAGATCCGCCTGCCTCTGCCTCCCAAGTGCTGGGATTAAAGGCGTGCGCCACCTACGCCCTGCATAGTTATACATCCTTATCATCTTACAAATGAATTCATCTGTCTCTTCCAGGATGTTGAGAGAGTCTTCCTCAGTCTGCTTCTCTGGCCATAGCTACTTTGAACTGAAGTGCTCCGATTCTTCCTTGTTTCCTCCAGGGTTAAGTACCAATGCTGGCAGCAGTGCAAAGGGCTACTTACTGGTGATTTAGTCCCTGCTTTTTTCCCCCATACTCATCACTCATCATTCTGACCTCAAAGACTTGCAGGTATTCCCTGGAATGTACCTTCTGATGCATTCCTTCATGCCTCAATTCTTCTGGACCTCATATGAATAGTAAGTATACTTGTGACTGTCTGACAAACGTCTATTCTTTGTAAGATTTTGTGATCCTATGAAGCTTGTTTATTTATCCTGAGACATAGTCTCCCTGTATAATTCAGGCTGGCTTCAAACTCATAATACCCTGCCTCAGACCCCCAAGTACACTGGCCACCATGACTGCCTATATAGTCCTTACTGACCTTCCAAGACAGAATTGAACACAACTTTCCAGAGGACTTTGTGACACACAACTCTATTTAGGCACCTACCACAGTATAGCCATTAGGGTGAGTGTTTCTGAAGAATGTGGACCACATACATCTACATAACCTCTGTGCCTTCATGACCTGTCACAGCTCCTAACACACAGAAAGTCCTGTTTATCTTTGAATACCTAAAAATGTCCCAAAGATTATTTTTGTTTAAAAGCAGGAAGTTCCTGTGTCAGTTTATATTGTTAATAATCTCTTGGATCCAAGATTTGGTATCTACAATGTGCGATATTCTTCCGTTGATCTAATGAGAACTTATTGACTATTTACTTTAACTTAGACATGGTAGGATAATGACTGATCAACAAAATCAGAAATGTGCTTTATCACAGAATTGATAATTTATTGAAGATGTTCAGACACACTGGGACATGACTGTAATCCCAGTGCTCACAAGTCTCAGGCAGGAGGTACAAAAGTTTGAAGACAGTCAGGGCTATTATATAGCAAGACCCCCATCTCAAAAAACTATTGAAAAAATATTATATCATTCTTATGAGCTATTATATAAAAGAGAATATATTTTACGTTTGGCCCACAGTGCCAATGAGATTGTCCATGACACAAGCCTTTCTGATGTGTGGGTTGCTGCCTATCAGCTTACTTTTCACTCTTTCTTGTTGATTTGTCTTTTATTCTCCAGTATAGAAAACTATCTCAGTCAATAACTACAATAAACCAAGGAAGAAATGTGCAAAATACTTATACATCTTATTTTAATCCAAGCAAAATGTGGCCTTTGGGACTCCATGGAGGGTGGGAGTTTATCAATGGCCTTATAGTTTTAGCAACAGCTTCTGCACTGACAGCTTTATCTAGTTTCATGTTAACAAACAGGACGCAAAAGAAACACTCAGAAAACAGCAAAATAGGATCAGTTCCTGGACAGGAAGGCCAACTGGTAGGCGACGATGGGTTACTGAAATATACTCCAGCAAATAGCAGACTGCTGCGAATCAAAGCCACACAAACTCCTCTTTCAGACAGTGTGGTGGGACAGTGTTTTGAAAGGGGAAAACAAGAAACAAAACCTAAACATAAACCAAAACCAAAATACAGTATGTGAAAATCAGATATTAAAAAGTTTGAAAAAACTCAAACCAAGTTCCTACAGATTCCTCGAGATGTGCTACCTTGGGAGGGTTGGTCCTTCTTCCTTCTAGGTTGAAATTAAAACCAAGGGCAGGTTAAGAGCCAAGCAGAATAGTGATACCCATTTAGGTAGTTAGGCCAATTCAAAGGCATAATACGGTCAGCGTTATAGGGGGCCTGGTATTCTTTTCAAAATATTTAAGATGGAGGTAGGGGAGGCTTATCTTTCTTAAATCTGGCTATCTTGTGTCCTTCCCATCCCTTAGCTGAAAGTGATTACTAATTAACAACTGTTGAAGAATAAGATGCAACTTGTGGTGGAGACATGCTGTCCCAAAGGTTAAACGTTGAACCCCAACTTTAATATACAAAAAAGCCAAGTACACGCAATGTGAATTTGCATTTTCACTTTGAGTCCAAAAATAGTAATCGCCTGAATCAAAACTAATTTGATTTGCTGAATTGACCACTTTGAAAAATAAAAAGCTTTATAAAATGTATATTTTTTCCACTTTTCTGGAGACCTTAAGATGGACAGTTTTCTTGACTGTATTTTAAAACAAAAGCTATGAAGCCAGGGATGTAGTTTAGGAGTAGAGGAATTGTATAGTATGTGTGAAGCGTGGGCTGCATCACCAGCAGTACAATAGAATAAAGGTTGTAGGTCAAGTGGGTGGTGCTTGAAGGAAATGGGAAGAATCTACCCCAGGCCATTTTACACCTTTTCCCAATACAAAATGCCAACCTCTCTGACCTTCTAATAGGTTAATATTCCAAAAAGTCTGGGATCTGTTCTGGGACTCCTCTGGAGCCATTACCCTGTCTATTAAACTTAACCTCAGAAAAGCATTTCATCTATAAACTTGTGTCAATAACGACTATAAAACTTGGGCTTCTCTCTCATGTAAGAGCAGCAAATATCTAAACACAAATGGGTATTCCTGATATCAAAACTGGACTGTGACCTCACCCAGAATTATAATAGCTTTACCATTGTTGGTTGCTTGATTGTTTTGTTTGGCAAGTGTGTTAATGGAAGAGGATTTCTGTACTGGTTTGGCAGTCAAGCAAGGCCAAAAAAGGCCTTACTCTGGCTTCAGGACAGAAAGCAGTTGATCTCCGAGCCCCGGAATCGTTTCATAGCCACTCCCTGGAACTGATTGTGGCTCACTGCCACTCGCTGGTGAAGAAAGAAGGACACTGCCAAGCTCTTTGCCCCCTGCAACTCTTGACTTGACTGTCTCCATCAGCCCCTCAAGAGACCTGAAGGTGGACGACTTCTTCACGTCTTCAAGCTTCCTGCAGATGGCAGAGCCCACCGAGGATAGGGCAGATGAAGTCTTTTGCTTCATGCAGGTGTTGGAGGCCTGGACATCATGCCAGCTCATGGACAGACTGTGCCTCAGTCCCACCAAGGCCATGCATCCTAACTTCCTCCTGAGTTCCCCACATCGCTTCTCTTTGGCAGCCAGCACGCTGCGTAACGTTAGGATCTCTTCCTCCAATTTAGTGAGCTCAGATTTGAGCTCTATTTGTTCAGCCTCTGTCAAGTCTAGTTCTGAAGCTGGACAGGATTCATATGTGGATACAGAGGGCTCTGCCATGGCATCTGGGACAGACAGGGACACGTCTTCATCCAGGGAGTCCAGGTCCAGCTCTTGGTAGAGAGAGTCTAGGCCTTGGTTTGTGGAGAAGTAGTTGGCGCTGGTGGAGCTGCAGTCTAGGCCTGCAGGCTCAGAATTCTCGCCAGTGGGATAGGAGTCTAGGTGAGACGGGTCCATATCTTGGGCAGCAAAACTCATGCTGGCTAGTGAGTCTATGTCCTTGCGAGAGAAGTGGATGCTTTAGGTGAGGATCCACTTCCGGTTGGTAGGGGTTGGATGTGGGGGAGGTGGAAGCCAGAGGAGGGACTTCCGGTCCAAAGGGCTGCCAGTCATCCAGCACTTCTCTCCATTGCAGACTGCTCTGTGGAGGTGTTTCAGTGGCTTGTTTCTGCATCACAAGGACCTTGTGAGGTAGGCAGAGCCTAGATTGTTATTGAGAGAAATGTCTTTTCCTCTAGCAGTAGTATCATAGGCCAGGTGTTCACACCAAATTGTGGGGTGTCCCTTTTTCTACCACATGAGTGATTTTTCAAACCCTCAGAGATCAGTGAGAGGTTACACTAACAGAAATTTAAGAGGGAGCCCAGAACACAAGTAAATACTTAAGATGGGGTGTGGAGCTCAAAACTTCCTTGCTCGCCCGCCTCCCCATCTTCTTGACCCAGGTTTCCAAAGGAGCCCGGAGAAACTCCGCTGAACCCTTACGATAGATTCAAAAGTACCCCAGAACTCAGTAGTGGGTAATACAGTCCCAGTGAGATATCAGCAGTGTTGGAGCGCTGCAAAGCAGTATTCAGAGAGTAAGTCTGGGCAGCCCCGTGGCTTATTCTGAGCGATGAGTGGAAGGGAACAGTAAACCGGTACTAGTGGGTTTTGTTTGTTTGGTTCGGGTTTTGCTTTGTTTTAGAATTAGGCTCTTTGAGAGCACAGACTAATTTTTTAACAAAGGGGTTGTGTTTTATTTTTCCCTACCTACATCTTATTCATATTTCTGAAAGCGTGCCTGTCTACATTTAATGGCTATCAGTCATGGGAGCTGGTCTGCTCAGGAAACCAGAGCCAATTAGATGGAGTCTGAGAGGGCAACCCACATCTTCCCTCAATTCCCTCAATTCCCCCAGAGTAACTCAAGCAGAGGGATCAGAACACTAATCCAGAAAGGGCACGTGTCAAGTATCACTTAGCTCCTTGTCTTGTTGCCTATTCCCAGGCAAGTCTTAGACCTAGTGATCTGCTCATCTTTGCAAGCATGCCATTGTGGATCCCTCCACATCCCGAAGGAATTTTGTTTGTTTTGTTTTTCAAGACAGGGTTTCTCTGTGTAGCTCTGAGTGTCCTAGAACTCACACTGTAAACCAGGCTGGCCTCGAACTTACAGAGATCCACCTGCTTCTGCCTCCCCAGTGTTGGGATTAAAGGTGTGCACCACCACTGCCCAGCCAACTAAAGGAGTTTTCTGTACCCGTGACTGCATCCAAGCCGACTTTAGCCTTCTCTTGGGTTTCTATCCAATAACCCTTTCACCCAACGTGGTAGTGATGATAATTTTTTTTTAACCTGGGAGGGTGTGCTTCCCTGGTTTAAAAAGGACAGTTGTTTTATTGAGCGTATGAAGGCTGGGGTGGGTTTTGGTTGTGTGTATGAAGTTCTGAAAAGTACAGCAAAACGTCCCTGAAGACCGTGTTGTGCCTGGATGGACTTTTCCTCCTTTGCCTGTTTAAACTCTAGTGGTTTCAAAAATAATTCCAGACTCTGACCACTCTCTGCTCATCCACAACTGATAATTAAAAGTTTTTAAAAGCAAAAAGCCCCTGAATTAAGCTAGTTAACATGGACCATACATTGGTCATTCAGAATTGATGTTTCAAATTACCAGGTCAGAACTTCCACATGATTTTTTTCCTCCTTGGATTGTTTTGGACATTATTAAACTTGCTCTCTTTTTTCTTGTGTTTGTGTCCCCGCTCTCAATTAAAAACACAATTCTTTGTTAGCTTTCATTCCATTTAATGCACTAATGTTTTGGTTGTTTTTTTTTTCATAGGAAAACTGAATTGGCCCACTTCTTTTTTCTAAATTAAATTTTATTCAAAGTAAAAACAATCTTGTTTTTACATACCAATCCCAGTTCCCTCTCCCTCCAGCTCTCCCACTCTCCCCACTAACCCTCCCATCCCACCCCCATCCACTCTTCAGGGAGGGTGAGGCCTTCCATGGGGGGTTATCAAAGTCTGTCATATCATTTGGGGTAGGACCTAGGCCCTCCCCCGTGTATCTAGGCTGAGACAGTATTCCTCCATAGGGAATGGGCTCCCAAAGTCCATTCATGCCCTAGAGATAAATACTGTTCCACAGCCAGAGACCCCATAGACTGCCCAAGCCCTGCAACTAACACTCTCATTCAGGGAGTCAGGTTCGGTCCTATGCTGGTTCCCCAGATGTCAGTCTGGGGTCCGTGAGCTCCCATTTGCTCAGGTCAGAGAGTTGGCCCATTTGTAACAGTTGGTTTCCAGATCCCAGATCAAGGCATGTTGTTTGAAAGGAGGGCTCCTAGTTGGCAGTGTTCTCATCTCCTGAGCAAACCTAGGTAACTATGTGGAATAGAGGAACAGTTTCTTATGTTAGGCTTATGTTTAACCATATCCAAAGTATTTTTATTTTGAGCTCTATGAAATGAAACTTCATTTAGTTTACAGGGTTCCTAGTCAGTTGTTTTCAAAGTTATCCTTTTAAGGTGTAAAAATAGCACACAGTGAAATAAATCTGTGTGATATAAAAAGACATGAAACTCCTCATCAGAAACTGAAAGAAACAACAACAATCAATTCAGGAACTAGTGGCTTCTCTAGCCTTTGTTTATAACAAAGCTGAAGCTGTTAATGACCTACATTTAGTAAATTATTTACCTAATAAGAGCAAGGGGTTTATCAAAGTCCCTCCAAATGTAAAAAGTAAATGAAAATTTAAAGAAAAAATGTCTGCTATGTGTAGAAACCTATTTTATTAATAAAAATTCTTGAACATAAATTCAAAACAACCCCCCTCTCCAGATCTATCCTATCCAGACATTTGACTAAAATTTCCTCTTTACATACTGGGAAAGGATAGCATTGTGGAAAATAAGCCCTACAAAAGAATGTAGATAAATCTGGCCTGTGAGTCAGAAAAGGCTTGGTTCATTACATGGGGATAGATATAGGTTGTCTGTCCCTGTCACAGACAGAGAAGCTTGGCATATTTCTCTACTTATGACCTAGAAATGCAGAGGATGCCCTAGAAGAGAGCCAGGACTGGGTATGATTCAGATTGCCACTGGGTTCTCACGACCCTCTCCAACCTACACTCTGCCTGAGTTACATGGCTTTCCAGCAGAGGCATAGACCATGCTGTATCTGAATGTATGACTCATTAGTAAAAAGGAAAGTTTATCTACAGACTATGCAGATCTTGAGTACCAGGAGACTGGTTTCTGTAAGGGGAGGGTTCAGAGTGGTGGCTGGCATTCTTCTCTGAAGTGACTGGGTACAGGGTGTTTATCTGCCTAAAAAGAGAGTTGCGATACCAGAAGGGTTAACCCTGAGCAAAGAGGACTCCAAGAATCGACAAAGAGGAGATTCAGAATGGGGGTTGTGTGTGTGTGCGCGCACGCGCGTGTGTGCGCGAACAAAGTTTAAATGTGCCTGTATGCTGAAGTTCTGAAACGCGGCATTGAGGGGTTAGAGTCAGCGAATTGGGGCCAAATAATTCCGACTTCCTTGTATCTAAGGCTCCAACTCTTTTAAAGGTTATGATCATTGTGGTGGCTTTGCTACAATGCAAAACACTCTACCATACCCTGAACTACACTCCCTAGCAGCTTAGCTATTCTTGTCTTAAAACTGTCGTGCTTTCTATGGCAACAGCATAATAATTACATTCTCAGTCCTGGGGCACAATCAATTATTAGGCACGTCTTCATTTTAGTAAGAGGTTTTTAGAAGGAACGCCCAACAATATTAAGCTGCACATTGATTTCTAAGATGAAATTCTGATTTAGAGGATGCTAAAATACCTCAAAATGGGTATTTTAAAACTGGAGAACTGCAGTTGTGATCAGCGGCTGCAGACATCAACACAGCTATCTGGTTCTCCTACAGTTAAGGCCGGGCTGCCATTCTTTTTCTCATCCTAAGAGAGAAGACAGATGAGAAAGTGCTTTCTGTTCATTTCTGCTATAATAATGAAACTAACTGAAGAGGAATAAAATATATTGATATTGCTCTCCTGGATCTCCTGGACCAGGAACTGCAGCAAGCTCGACTCGCCCCCAGAGGCCCCAGCTACCAGAAGCCTGCTGAGAGAGCCTGCCTATTCCTGCCCCCACTCAGGGCAGAGGGCAGAGGGCAGAGGGCAGAGGGCAGAGGGCAGAGGGCAGAGCTCCCACCCACCGGGAGTGGGAGTGCCTGAGACACATCTGTACCCACTGTGAGACCCATCAGAGTATCAGACTCAATTGCACCCACCAAAAGAGAACCTTGGACCGTACTCATGAGGAAAGGAAGACACCCCAACTGTACCCACTGAAAGAAGGGATGGGAAGATGATAATACAAGAACAAATACAGCAACAGAAAAAACATTATGATGCCACCAAAGTCTAGGAATTCTATACCATCAAGACCTGAACATCACAACACAGATGAAACAGAAGAGAATGACCTTAAAAACAAATTCATGAAGATGATACAGACCCTAAAAGAAGAAATGAGAAAAATCTTTTAAAGAAGTGGAAGAAAAGACAAACCAAAAATTACAAGAAACAATTCAAACAGTGCAAGTTCTGAAACGTGCAATAGAGACAATAAAAAACACAGTCTGAAGGAATGCTGGAATTAGAAAAGGTGAGTAAGTGGTCTGGAACTATAGATGCAAGCATAATCAACAGAATATAGGAGCTAGAAGAGAGAATCTCAGGCACTGAAGACTCACTAGGAGAAACAGATTCATCGACCAAAACAAAAAAAAAACCTTAAGTACAACAAATCCCTAACACAAAATATCCAGGAAATATGGGACACAGTGAAAAGGCCAAATCTAAAGAATAATAGGTATAGAAGAAGGTGAAGAAGCCCAGATCAAAGGTACAGAAAACATATTCAACAAAATCATAGAAGAAAACTTTCCCAACCTAAAGAAAGACATGCCAATGAAAGTACAAGTAGCTTACAGAACAGCAAATAGAGTGAACCAAAAAAAATTCCCTCGACAAATAATAATCAAGACCCCAAACAATCAGAATAAAAAAGAATATTAAGAGGAACAAGGGAAAAAGGTCAAGTAATACATAAAGGCAAACTTATCAGAATTACACCTGACT